TAATCTTATACCACCTAGGTGGGGCGACACGAAATGTGAATCATGCGGACGTCAAATCTTCTAAGAAAACAAACACCCAGATCCGTTATCTGTGCATCAAACAAATACTTGTCCCATGTGGGAATCTAATCCACGACCCCCGCAGCCGAAACCAATAGCTTCGCACCTGCGCCTCTGAGTCATTCAGTAGCATCGCATAGTCACCCTAAATAATTAAACGGGGTTCGAATCTTAATTGACGCCAAACTAATCGCCAAATGTTCAGCAAAATATGTCTACATTTGCGGGTATCTTCTTTCTTTCTCCTGTCCTTATACTACACTAGGTGGGGTCGGCAGACGTCCTGTCCTTCCACTTATTTCTCAGTCGTCAAATCAATACTCACTCGTTTCAAAGACATATCATTCTCCACACAGTCCATACAAATCTTCCCCTAGCTTTACACCCTCCAACCTCATTCGTACTCATAGTTTTATATGACATAACTTTTATATGACTTCCCTTCTCATAACGTGCTCATACCACGTGAACAAACATTTGCGCATAATAAATTAAAACTAGCCGTCTCAAGCGGTGAGTGCGATAGCGCTAGCAGTATCTGTTTTATTTACAAGTACGTATCACAGCATTAAATCTTGTAGAAAAAGTACGAAAAGATTGTCGCCGCTGTGGGAATCGAACTCACGTCTTTGGCATTCGCGGCCAGACGCTTTAGCCACTGAGCTAAACGGCTGATTGCCACACCGACGAAAATCACAATCAAAATCAAACAATCGTACTATTTATACAAGTGTTAATGTTTAATCTTAAGTGCAGAGATTGGCAAAAAACTTTAAACATATCACATCATTCATTATTATTCATTGTTACATCAATTTATTTTACTAATAGTCCTTCTTACGAAAACTATCGCAAGATGATAGAATTCGCTAAAATTCTTGATTAAGAGATTTTAAACCCACGATCCAATATTAGCGCTTCTTTTCAATAGAACTGCTATTTCACTTTCCGTGAATTACATAATTTTCATTGTGATAGCCAAATCCTTAATTATATGATAATATACGTAAAATTGGCTTGAATACAGTAATAGAAAAAGGTATAATTGGAATTAGTTACATTTTTTTACAATTCTTTTTTTCCCTTTTTTTGTGCGACATATACTCTATTTGTGCTCTGAGTAATTGTGCTGATTGATACCTGCTGGTGAATTTCTCCATCGTACAAAAACCGCCAATTACCATCGACACCATCTTGATGGTTGGCGGTCCCCCCTTTGGCGGTTTCTGCCCCGCACGGCTACTTTATGGCACGAGATGTCGCCAGAGGTATTTCCGGACCGATACGCCTTAGGGACCTTCAAAAAGAGAACCTACTCGTACCTTAAAGGCCGGCAACGCAATTGAGACTCAACCGATGTTAAAAAAAATAGTACTTGATATTTTGAGCGTAAAAATTATGAGTACAACTTTTCAAGATCAATGATATAAAATATAATATGTTATTCTCGCAAAGCGAGATTGTTTCAATATGCAATGTTAACATAACAAAAGATGAAGGATCGATAAATAAACAGTGGAAGTATGTTTCTTAAACGAGTATAAGTAGTATAGAATGAAGCGGTGTTTCTTTTATGAAACCGGCATGAGACTGGCGGAGAACAGCGGCACCTTATTAACATAAATGCCTGTATTAGCGACGCTCGGAACAGACTCGCAATAGTAGAGACAATAGCTATGTATCAAGTAACGATAAAAAGTGAATAGAATGTCAAACCGCTAATGTTTTTGTTACATCATATTGCCACATTCCAATTTCTTGTTTATCTAAAATAGCCAGCACTATATACTGTACTTTATTGGAAAATTAATGAATAGTGAAAAACTTATAAATATTTAATGTACTGTAAGAACTGTCGTCTACAATAAAATTATTACTCTATATACGTCTACAAAGCTCACTCAGTCTTATCATTACAGCCATCTCAAACATAGAAATCAAATTAATACTGCTGTCTGAGTTGTCTTCGTTACAAGTTTATAAAAAGCTTTGAGAGAAAGTCAGTTCCATTCAAAGATTTCCACTTATTTCAAGTTAGCATTTTGCAGAACAATGCATGTTTGTGAAAACGATTTTATCTGTGAGTTTAATAAATAAATTGTCATGATCAGGATCTATTTTGTATTTAAAGTCTGGTCGCACCGAAAATCATATCACAATTTGTCTATTAAACCCACATTTAACATGTAGGTTCATTGAAAATTAACTAAATTTAAATGTGGGATTAATAGACAAAAATGAGAGATTTAGGATTTATTCATAATCCTCATCTTGTATGTACATACTTTTTATATTTTTATAGTGCCTTAAAACTTTAAGTAACAGTTGTTTATTGTTCATCGATTGAAATATTTTCGATTTTCAGATGTTTATTTTTGTGCAATTTCAGCTACCCTACCAGTCAGTAGCAGTCACTAAATGGTTTTATATAATGTGTGTTATTATAATATTACTATTCTATCAATACTACGGCTTCTTAATTTTTAGAATAATAGTTATCGTTCATTTTAACAAATTGTCATACATTCTTTTTTAATATTTAGTGGAAAAAGATTTCAGCGTGGTTGCCAGTCTTCTAACAAAGAAAAGAAGCTCACTGGACACACTCAACGGAGGATAATTCAATATTTAACCTCACCAGATGTATCCTGCATATTGGTTATCCAAAATGCCCAAAGTATTTTGTTACTAAGTGAGTTTAGTAAGTTTTTCATGGTTTATTTCATCTTCATACACCTCAATGTAGTTAGAAATCATTCAAAGTACATTTGAAGGCGATGAATTTTTTAAAAGTATCTATTAGCTAAGCCAGGCGTCTACCCAAAATCGTAATGCATGGCAAGAGACAATAAAGTTTGCGGAATTCTGATATAGACAATAAAATTACATCGCAGAGGTTAACGTTGTTTGCTTTTTTGTTGTTCGCAAGAAAAAATCTTTCCACTTCCTTCTTTTCTGCGTAACGGGGTTATAATTAAAAAAATATTAAAATTTTCTTCAGACATTATTAATGTAATAATAAGACGGTTGAACTCACAATAAACTGGTGTATGTACCAACACCATATTACATACATGGTTACCGTGAGTTCAGCTGTCTTATTATTACGGAGTAAGAAATATGTGAGCCGTGATAGCTCATTGTCCGGGCGCTCGCCTTTAATTCAAGATACTCGAGCAACCTGAGTTCGATCCCCGGTGCCGGCACCAACGAAATTTTTAATTTTAAGTGCTGACTTATCACATGCTCAACGGTGAAGGAAAACATCGTGAGGAAACCTGAATATTTTCGAAATAATAACGAAAAAAGATATATTTCGAAAGTATGTGAAGTCCACCAATCCGCAGTGGGGCCGCGTGGTGGACTATGCCCCGATACCTTCTGTACAGAGGTCTTTGCCCAGCAATGTGACATGTACAGGCTATACTAAGAAATATTTATAACATACACTATATATAATATATATACTTATAATATATACTTATAATATATACTTATAATATATACTTATAATATACACTATACTAAGAAATATTTTAAATCCGAGATATTTTTTTTTTACTTTTCAGGTCTTTGTAAACAAATGGTTAAATTGAAAAATTGTACCTCAACTATTTCTTAAAATTGTCAAGTACCCTTAAATACAATTATTATTTAATGATATCATTGAAACTTTGCATAAGCATACTGCGTGACTACCTACACATGCGAAAATATTGATTAAAACACATGTTTAGAGTTGATTTTATTACAAGACAAACGAATGGGTTATAATCAAAATGAAATACGATCACATTTCTGCATTTTATTTTGTTGTTATAAGAATATATTGGAATAATGACATTTGAGGTTTACATTATTCATAACACTAAATCATTTTCATTGTGACTTCTTTAGTCTCACTAAATATATTTTACATCAGGAGTTAGTGAAGAGAATAGAATCTTACTCGGTATTCGGGAATGATATTTATCATGAATTAGAACCACCCCGAACGGCATATCTCGCTCGAATCCAGTGGAATTTTCACCTCCGTCTCCATTATAGAAATGTCTCGATGTCTGCACTGCTTTGTCTCTTCTTATTTTCGACGACGGATCCATGACCTGCATATTCTACACAGAATAACAAAAAGGTTAACAAGGTATGGCAATCTCAAGGTGACTGCGATCACACGAAAACATCCTGTCAAATACCGCCGGTTTCCTAAGGAGCACGCTACGTAATTTATGGCCCCATGTATCAAACATAAAATCTTCGCGTCAAATCCAAAGCTAATAAATAAAAATGAAATGTGAAAAACAAACTTTGAAAAAAAAAATTTTACATCATTCCTGTAATATTTCTAAACTGATCTGCTTTTAAAAATTATTGTAATTTTATGAAGTAATTTGGTTCTGGCGCGACTTTATGTTTATTTTTTTTATGGAGAAAAGGGGCAAACGAGCTGGAGGCTCATCTCATGGTATGTGATGACAGACGCCAAACGCATCACCCGCGGGCTTACAAATGCGTTCCCGGCCTTTTAGGAAAGAGTATGCCCTCTTCTTGAAGGTTCCCAGGTCGTAACGATAGACCACCGGCGGCGGCTGGTTCCACGGAGTGGTTGTGCGAGGCAGGAAAGGTCTTGAAAATCACGTCCGAGCTGATATGGTCGAAGATGCTGATTTCAAATCCGACTCTTGTATCAATAGAATATTTTAGACCGGCTATTGTAAGGATATTGTAATCTACTTCATGACCCAACCACAGAATAAAACAATATATCAATATAATGTCTTACTGGAAAAAAAATGTTTGTATCAATTAAGTTGTATTATTAAAAATAGCTGCCGCATCTAGACTCAGAATAGTTTTAAGTCGCCCGACGTGAAATATAATAATTTCAGCGAATGCGATCTGGATCTCCCTCATTGCTGGATCGTGACGGAATATGATTAAAATAATGATATATCCAACTTCACTTTTGAAATTAAGTCCGAATCTGTTGAAACATTTTCCTGATCTGAGGTCGTGTCTAAATTAGAACATTCCTGTTCATCATCTGAATTTCCTTCCATTGGTCGCTTTCTACATAAAATATCTGAAATAGTGAAAATCAAACAAACGTTTGACAAAAATAGTACTTTGTACACAGGTGCATATCTGATAAGGAATAATCCTCAATATTTAACTAATATTTACGTGAATCCTGTAATATTCAATAAAATTTGGATTGGTTTTAAGACTGGGATTTAGAGATGACATTTAAATGGACGTAATCCGTAAAATATTTTAATTTATTTAAAGTCCTTTACTTTTAATTTAAGAGATTTATTAAATATTTTAATTAATTAAACTTCTTAAAACTTTCATTAATATTTTCATGATACAAATACGTATTAATTGATAATTTGCATGTCATATAGTTTTAAAGTTTATCTTACGTTGTCTTGTTGGCTCCCTTATGAATTCCGGTGTATCTTTTGAGTCAGCATCATAATGAGGTGTTTCGAGATCATCGTCGGTGTCGTCACTACTCGAATCACTTCGGAAATTGTTAAGATCCATTCGTCGGCCCAATTTGAACGCGTCTAAAAATAATGTATTTTATATGGTATCAAAACTTATATACGACATAACATACATAAATGAGTTTTTTCATTGGTTGTGTTACCTCTGAAAATACAAAATCCATCCTTAAATTGTCATATTATACAAAGCCTTATCGTCCCACAGAGTAACATCTAACCTAGTTTCGTTATATGGAGAAATGTTAAGATCTCTAAATAAAGTTTATTCAGGAAGTTTTACGAAACCCAGTGAGCATTTCCACTATTTCTACAAAGTTATGAGCGTTAAGTTCTATCGATTAAAAATATTTGTAAATGTTTAACGATGAATGTATCACATCCTGAATAATCATCCAAAACATTTAAAAATATGCGGATCACACAAATAGTTGTCCCGTATGGTAATCTAACCCACGACCCTCAGCACCAAAGCCTGTGCATTGGCGACTACGCCACGGAGTCGTCAAGTGTAAGTAATCGTGACTTCGTCATTGGTATATTTATGAACCAAACGAACCTAATAATGAGCCTAAATTTAACAAATATGGAAACTAATAAAACTATTTTTTTTGTAAACTATCATTTTAAAAATTCGTTAAGATTTTTTTTATTTATAACTAGCGACCCGCCCCGGCTTCGCACGGGAGCAATGTATTATAAGTACATATAAACCTTCCTCTTGAATCACTCTATCTAGTAAAAAAAAACCGCTGTATATAATATAGCTGTCCCTATACTGACGGGTCGACTTATACTATGTAGTGACGTGTATAGTTTTTAAGAATGAAAATATCACTATTCTGTTATAACACTCACCAAAAAAATATCTTCACCTTAAATGTAAATTAATGATAACATGCTAAAGGAGTGATAGTTGCTTCACAATTCCACAAACCTTTAAGTAGACTATCAGTTTCCTTTTTGAGTAACCGGGCTGTCCCGTTGATTAGTACCGAAGACGTTCTCAGAGAAAGGCGCTCAGACGCCGAATGACCGTCACTTGCCACCAGATAGTCGAGCTTTTCACTATAACATTAAGGTTCTTATTCTAACGAACCCCGACGTGTGTCCACCGCTAGGTTACTAAGATACTAAATTAGGTCGACGATTGAAACCTTTGACATCTATACTCAGAAAAAGATTGGATTCCAAGCACAGAAACCAAAATAATGCATTTCTCGTTATTCAAAATTAAACGATAACACACTCTGGTAATGAATTGATCGCTCCAGGCTCTCAATCAGAGTTCTTATTATGTATTTGTAATACATTCATGTCAAACTGTTTATTTAAAAAAAAAAAGCCCAGTGTCTTTCTTTTCCGAACCGGTGCGGTGTTAGTATTTTGACTACCAATAAGCGAGTATGTTGAATAAAAATATTAGATTTGGATTTTTGATTCAACCGCAGCGAGGCTTTGGCAGTAGCATAATAATAACTCACCAAACGTTTGAAAAGCTCGAATTTCCGCCTTCTTCGATTTCCTGGCAGTTGGCAGCTCGCCAGGGCCCGCCTAATGACGAGTTTGCCATTAATTTTATATCGTAGAACATTTTAAAGAACATCAGTTCAGTAGTACAACTGCTAAAAATCACTCGCCGTAGATTTTACTAAATGTTTTGTATGTACCCTCGTACTGGGCCAATAAAAAAGTGTTTATTAAAGGTAAAGGAAGGTATTCAACTAATTTAGTTGATGCAAAAAAGTCAATCCATTAACTTTTATTTATGTTTATGTTTTTACAATAAAACATTTTTCATTACTGAAAATTCTTAAAATAAAGATTTTTTAGGTCAGGTAAATAAGATAAATGTTTATTCTATTGTGAACAGATTATTCTCACATTCATCCTATTTGAAATGTGTTTTATTATTACATTTCAAATGGAGAAAGAAAGCGGAAAAATATATCATCCAAACTTCACGGCCACTTACGCACCAAAAACTGTATATTATTATTGGATTAAAATAACTCAAGTCCTATTACAAACTTCTCCCAACATACTGATAAGTAGGAATATGTTAGAAACTTCCGCATCGCTCCAACTGAGCACGTACTGAGTAACACGTGTAATATTGTCGTACCTACATTCGCGGTGGATTCTGTGTGGAGTTTCCAAATTGCCTATTAAACGTAGCACAGCGACGACGTGTTTACACTTCCCGGAAATCGTGCAAGATGAGAATATAACATATTAATATAGCACTTTAATTAGTCGCTAGCTACCCGCCCCGGTTTCGGTCATGTCCAATAGTAACGTGTGTCTAAAATAATAATGTCAAGACATTATGTTTGAGTCGCAAGAGTGACAACATTAAAATTGAGATAATCTTCCAATTTCAAACGCTTCCTTCCATTACCATGATCCGTGTGTGCAATAAAGGTCCCCAGCAATTAAAACTATCGTATCCAGTTTCGATAATGACATATAATGTGCAATTAAGAAACAGAAATTATTTATTACACAGGTGGCTTGTAATATGGAATGTAAATTAAGTTTAGTAAAACGCAGACTACTAAAATCGACGGCAAAATTGCGTGTACCTATTATAGGTTTGTGTTCTCAATTCTTGTTTGCATACAACAAACATGAATTGAGGTACAACGTAAATGAAATAGATGTATTTAGACCTGAATTTAAAAATGCACGATCAATGTTGCCACTTCAATTTTGACTTTGAAAATCAACCATGTCCCAAACTGTTTCACAAAAAACTATTGAAAAAACGATTTTTAAATACTAGTATGTAACAAACATTAATCATGATGTGAAGTGAAAACATTGTCTTATCCTTTGCAAGTTCTGACAGCTCCGTGGCGGGTACACGATTTCAGATTTTGGGGAGCGGTAATTCATCAAGGAGGCCCCACAAATGCCAAGCGCAGGACTATCATGTTTCTCTTTTAATGGAAAGCCGAAATTAGGTAAAATTTTTCTGATTATATTATTTACAGAGAACGACTTTAAACAAGGTATTTAGCTGTTTAAATCATAAAGCATCATCTGTTCACCTACAAATACTTTGTGTTACTAAATACATTTTTGTAAAGATTCTCAATTGAGAGGTAATGTGCCAGTGACTTTAGTTTTAAGTAAAACTCAGTATAATAATTTTTAATGAAAAGAACAAAGCAAATATATTACAAATGTAATATGAGATGTTGACATAATTGAAATATTTCAAAGACATTCAAGAGAAACGTAACAACAAATTACAACTGTTTGTAAGCAAAATTTCCTTGAACGTGAGGAAGTAATGCACGATAGTAGAAAATGATTGAAAATAATAAAGGCATTGAGAAAACAACTACTAAGCCATCATGCATCATCATCACGATCATTTCACCCTGTTTGAGTCCACCGCTGAACAAAGTCCTCCCCCACAGACTGCCACGAATTGCTCGTTTAAAAGATAAGAAAAATAATAATATGTGTTTATTTACAAGAGAAAAGTATGTTTAAGTATGTTTATCCGTTTTCTAGTACCCATAGTACAAGCGTTGTGTAGAAATGTGTCCGCAAATATTTATTATAAAAATTATTTAAGTTATATCAAGAATTAGTGACATTCGAAAATAAAAAAGCTATCACAACTTAAACAAATATAAACTTATCGGGACCCTATTATCAGCATGTATAAGTTGCCATTATTAAGTTTAGTACTGTTTGCTGTTCTGTGTATAAAAAAAAAAAGAAAAAAAAGATATTCACCATAAATACATGGGTAGACTGTTCATAGAATTCGGAAAGAATAGGAAAGTAAATTGCCATAGATATGTCATGTTATTATTATTCATCATTTATTTGCCTTAAGGATAAGGCAAACAAATGAATAGTATCCATGCATGAACAGAGAACTTTTTGTGTTGCATTCACAAAAATATATTCCACTTTTTAAAGAACACACGAAACGTTACGCAAATAAACGACAACATTCCCACGTGATACGTGCAATAACGTTCGTATAGGCGGTTTTTAAAAGCCGCCCCGACTCCCGAGGGAGTGCTCGACCTTCATTAGTAACGATTGCGCGCCAATCATCCGGAACGAGTTACTCCCGAAAGCAAAAGTAAAAAACAATGTCTATGGCCTCCCAAAAATCTTAAACAACGCACGAGCAGCCCGTAAAGATGAAGCGCTGCCAATGTTGGTATAACAGTCGAGGTAGGGAAATGTTTTTAGGGTTCTCTACACAAAGGGTAAAACGGGACCTATTACTAGAATCGGTTATCGGCTGTCTGTCTGTTAGTGTATGTCTGTCTGTCTGTCACCAGGCTGTATCTCTTGAACCGTGATAGTTTGACATTTTCACAAGCGATGTATTTCTGTTGCCGCTTTCACGACACATACAAAAATAAATAAATTAGAAAAATATTTAACTGTGGTTCCCGTACAACAGGCATAATTATTTGGCCGTTTTTATAGATAATGGTACGGAACCCTCTGTGCGCGGGTCCGACTCGACACTTATTGTGTGTTTGTGTTGTTCCATCCGCATTGTCTCTAATATAAGCCTTCTTTGCAATATTTTAAGTATTTATTTCGTTCTGATCAATAAGAATATCATTTTGGTCAAGTCAGAGAGTTTAAAAATCCTTTTGGCAACTCAAATGACATTTTAAAAGCCATTTGACCAAGATGATTAGTTAACTTCTTTAAGACGAACAGTCTTTCAGAAACCGGGCGTACAGTATCTGTTATTATCGCAAAATCTGTGAGTCCTAAATAGCGGACCAAATATCGAACTTTAGCGGAGACGTCTGCCAAGAACTACGTAAAGTGTCAACGGCCGTGAAGAAGACCCTCGACAAACGCGTCGACCCACAGATTATCAAGCTGTGAATCGCTCCAAAAACAATTCTAATATTAAATATAAATAATTGAGTGCGCACATGGAACGCCACATATTAAGAATAACTACCTCAAAAGTAAAACGCACTGGGATGGTGTGTTTTTAATTATAAAATTGTTTTCTCTCAAGTTAATATTAATACAACAAGAAACAGTTTCCTTCGTCCAGCTGACAAAATAGACACACAGATCAAACATGAATCAACGTTGCGAGGTATATCGTAATCATAACAGTACCGATATTTTAATCTGACAATTAACTTGTACTTTATCTGGGTTTCAAGATTGGACACCTGTATGATAACAGCATATTTCGGTCGAATCTACCGATATATATAGTCGCGTGGTGGAAGCAACAGATACGACGGTACAAAGCCGAATAATGTTTCTAGTGGTCGTGTTTCTGTGTGCCGTGGCGACTATCGCCGCAACTCCATCGACTGGCGTTGTCCAATGTAAGTGCCTGTAACATCTTTTAAAGGGACAAACGCGCATTTGTTTATTGATAAACTCGCTGCTAAGTCCCGCGACTACGTCTGTATAGAATAGGCTGAAGCCGTAACATTCAGACAGAAATACATAAAATATGTGTATAAATTTATAGCCTATGTCTTATTCTAATGTATAATCTATATTATAGTAAAGTTTCATTAAAATCCATGCAGTATTTGCGTGAATATATATATACATATATATATATATATATATATATATATATATATATATATATATATATATATATATTATAAAGGCGAAAGTTTTAATAAGTATATTTCAGGCTAGGGCCTATTATAATGAATCGTAGAATACATTGAGGACAACGACGCGTGGCCCTTGCTCTGCACTTGCAAGTCTCCCCTGGAAGTTCAATGAGAGCTTAAACTAAGCCTATAATGAATAAAGAAATTTTCACTTTGACTTTTTGACTTACATTTCAATATCAAACGTCTAATATACAAGCGCAATACAGCCCATTTGCTGGACGGATACAAATCTCCGATTAAGTTTAATCGTAATAAATTACAGAACAATAGGCATTTAACTGTCTTTCCAGGTACCGCCAACCCAGGTGACCTCCCGCTGAATACTTACGTGGACGGCTGCGTCACACCGCCGTGCCAGCTCCCTCAGCTGCAAGATGCCGTCATCAACCTCGTCTTCAAATCACGTCAGTGTCACGTCAATGATATATTTTGCAATCTTTCGTATACACCAAACGACACACACCGTGGTGGAGCCACGCAACAGTCTTGGTTGTTGCACGAATTGAAGGTCCACTTTGGAAAGTACCACGACCTCACAAAAGACCAGCGTAAAGTGGAAGTCACTTCTACGTTTCGTCTAGTGAGTGGGGTAGGTGGGATCCACTTTATTTGTCCACTCCAGTTGTCGCAAATGCCCATGGGCGGCAGATATCACCTAACAACAGGTGAAACGCCTGCTCGCTTACCACCGTCTCTAAAAATATATATATAATACATAAACAATCCAATGTATTGCAGTCATTTAGTGGTATTGCAAGGAGGCCTTAGGCAGATTAGCAACAATTCACTTGAAATTTATCTAGATAACGGGAATTAGAATTGAACCCGAAACCCGTCGCGGAAGCCATCAGCATGACAAATACGCTTACCGATAACATGAAGAATATTGCCAGTCAATCGTTTAATGTCACTTATGCAACATAATGTTTTTATACGTGAGTGGCGAAAGCAGTGAAGAGACAAGCGATTAGTCGAGGAAGCTTGTTTGTTTTTATTCTGACGACCTGAATGGCGTAGTCAGTAGTGTACCTGCCTTCTGCGCAAGTGGGTGTAGTTCGATCCCCACTACTGGATATATATTGTGTGATGATGATAGTGTTTTTCTAGTGTCTGGGTGTTTATATATGTATAATGTGTATTTATTTACAAAAGAAGTGTATGTCTATCAGTTTTATAGTACCCATAGTACACGCGTGGCTTAGTTTGGGAGTTTAGAGAACGTTGTGTAAAAAGAATGTGTCCTAAAATATTTATTTATTTATTCTTTTTCACTCTTTGTTCCAAATAGTTTGATTAATAACTTATTTATTACAGAATACTAAGTTCCCAAAAAGAAAACTATTTCATTTAAATGGCTTTAAAATAAAACCACAACCCCCCGTGTATACTAACTTGATGTGATTTATACACCAGCCCGTGTAATGCACTCGATGACAACACTGGCCACCGCCTACATGTCTTTGGGCTTCATCACCATTCCGGTGCCGTACGACCTCGGCAAGAACGCCGTCACCTGCAACTTCCTCACCAACACCTACTGCCCCGTGCTGAAAGACGAGGTGGTCACCTACACCCTGAGGATGTACATCGAATCTTTCTTCCCCGTGGTAAGTTTGAAGGAGTAGACTAAATTAGACTGTTAGTACGGGAAATATCTCATTATTTATCGGATTTTACTTTAATACTAATTCCTGAATAGCGGCGTAACGACAGTCGTTAGTATTGAATTGAATGAATGAATGAATGAAATATACTTTATTGTACACAACCAACGGATATTGAAGAATCAACTAAAATAATACAAAACTGTACAATAGGCGGCCTTATCGCTAAGAAGCGATTTCTTCCAGGCAACCTAGTAAAAGGAAATAGTAAAAACAGTAGCATTGGGTAACGGTGTACACTGAATTAATAAGAGAAACTTATAAGTCAAAATATAAATACATATTAATAAATTATACATAAATACACATGCAAACACGATATATACGTTATAAATAATGTATAAGTATTTAGATATAAGTTGACAACATCGAGGAATGGAACACAATGATTAAGGAGGCATAAAATGTTTTCTTAAAAGTCGCTTGAAAATAGGTAGGGATTGTGCCCGCCTAATATGTAGTGGGAGAGAGTTCCAGAGCCGAACAGCTTCCACAGAAAAGGATTTGGAGTAGAAAGATGTACTATGGGGAGGAATTCTGAGGATTAAATTGTCATCGGAGCGGAGAGATCGATCTGGGTGAGAATCACAAAGATACTCAAATCGCTTCTTAAGATAAGGAGGGGTGGTTGGATTGAATAGAACAGAATATAAGAGCGAAAGAAGGTGAGTATTCCTGCGAAGGCGGATTATAAGCCACTTGAGCTTATTTCGGAATTCAGAAATGTGGTCATATTTACGAAGTCCAAATATGAACCGTATGCAAAGATTTTGGATGCGCTCAAGTTTATTAAGTTGTTCAACGCTTAAGTCTAAGTAACATGTATCGGCATAATCTAGAATTGGTAAGAGGAGAGATTCCGCGAGCGCAATTTTGGTAGGTATGGGTAAGAAGTAACTCAATCTACGAAGAGAATTAACTGCTGCAAACATCCTTCTACTCACTTCACTAACCTGAGGAACCCAAGAGAGAAATTTATCAAACACAACACCTAGATTTTTAACCGTATCGCTATATTGCAATTGGACCCCGTCAAAAACTATACAAGGAAGAGTAGCCCAGTCAATTCGTGAAACCAATCTTTGGCTGCCTATAATAATAGCTTGTGTTTTGGATGAATTTACCTTCAGTCCATAAGAATTGCTCCATTCTACAATGGTGTTTAGATCTTTATTAACTGCATCTATTGTTATGGTTAAATCTGGTAATTTGGATTGAGCGTAGACTTGGAGATCATCAGCATACAGATGGTAGAGAGAAGTTAAATGTTGAGTGATTGAACTAATGAAGATTGAGAATAGGAGAGAAGACAACACGCCACCTTGCAGTACCCTGGCATTTATCGGACTCCAGTCCGAATACTTCTCCTCGATCTTAATCCGTTGCCGGCGCCCGTGCAAGTTACTGTGAAACCAGTCAACGACCTTAGGAGATATGTTTAGAGAAGTGAGAATGGCTAAAAGTAACTCATAATCAACATTATTGAAAGCGTTGCTGAAATCTAGTAAAGTCAATACTGTTACACACTGGTTATCCATACCGAACCAGATATCAGCAGTAATTTTTACTAATGCAGTAGTCGTACTATGACCAGAACGGAAACCGGATTGAAACGGATATAAAAGGTTGGATTTGGAAAGAAATAAAGTCAATTGTTTATGAACAATGCGTTCAAAAACTTTTGATAGAAATGGTAAAATGGAAATAGGCCGATAATCAGAGAAACTGGAAGGATTCCTTTTTTTAGGAAGAGGAATTATCTGTGCATTCTTCCAGGAAGTAGGGAAGCAACCGTGTTTGGTGTTTTCTCAATCACATATGAGGTACTAGTGACCCGCCACGGCTACGCACGGGTGCAATGTATTATCTTCCTCTTCAATCACTCTATCTAGTAAAAAAAACCGTACCAAGATCCGTTGCGTTTTACGTTGCGTTGCAAGATTCAGTACGTAATTAGTTTTATATTATAATTATTTCATGCTGTTGCACGAATGATCAGTCATGCTCATCCGGGCAAGTGCCATGGCCTCACAGAAGACCGGCGTGAAGTAGAAGTGTATTACTTCTGCGTTTCGTCTAGTCGACCGGGCACACTTTGTTAAAAGGTTTGATTCTAGGCACCACTGCACGGGCACTTTTATTAAATTTTCTGCATACTGAATACCTAAACTTGGTTTCTAGCGTTTGGAGATATTGGAGCCAAATTTCTTCATGCAACTTATTCGCGGCGAGTTGAAATTAAAACGCAAGTGAAACGAATACAAAATAAAGCAATGAACCAAATATAAATCGAAATATTTTTTGTTGGTTGTAAAGCGAAGATTTAAATAATAATGACCGTTTGTAGTCGGTTTGAATGAGAAAAATTAAAATGAGTGTTGTATAGGGGAGTACCATTATCTATAAAAAACGGCAAAAAAGATCATGTCTGTTGTATGGGAGTCCCAGTTAAATACTTTTTATTCTGTTTTTCAGTATTTTCCGCTATAACAAGCGGCAACAGAAATACATCATCTGTGAAAATTTCGTCTTACTACCACGGTTCTTGAGATACAGCCTGGTGATAAACGGACAGACACATAGACAGATAGCGGAGTCTTAGTAATAGGGTCCAGTTTTACCCTAAAAAAACGACAAAGGAAAAATGGAATCCTAATACTTTTAATAATAACTTGTACCATATGACATAGGAAAGGAATATGGTCAATATTTTCATAGCAAATTTCTCGTTTTAATACGACGGAATAAGTGAATGCAAATAAAACATTATTGTTTTATTTGCCTTTACTAGACGAAAGCTTGAAAGAGTTTTTAAGTTCCTTACTTTTCTTACAGATGGCATTGTCAGTGTATTGATATCGACACCCGTTCATAACTTCAATCATCCCAATTATATCATATCGAGGAAACGATCTTTAACCGTTTATTTAGTAGATGAAAAATATTTTCTATCAAACTTCATATGTTAAATAATATAATTACCACGAATAGGCTGCCTGAAAAGTAGTATTTATGCCTACCTAAATTAAAATAATATGAGTGTTGAGGATATTTTGTGGGTGAAGTAAATAGTATAGGTAATTCTATAAACGCAATTTTAATCCAAATATTTCCTTGTCGGTTCTTTTCCAAGCCAATCCAAATAGCAATGATTGCAATTGGTGATACATTAGTAAAAAGGTTAAAACTATAAATATAACAGAACTGTTTTGACTTTGATGGTAATGCATTTTATCTCTTCCAGGGTACTTCCGTCACCATCGAATTCCGCGTGGTGGATGAAGATCAACGGCCGATTCTCTGCATCAGAATGCCGATAACCATCGTGAGCCCCCTGTCGGAATCGCCCAACATTAACGCCAACTCCACTGCATTCAGCATTGACGGTCACTAAATTCAGTTTTCGTATTTAAGTGATTAATATTGATGTCTATTATTTAATAATAAAATAATATTTGAGAATTATACTACTTTTTTTAAGAATAAGATCCATTTTATTATTATAAACTACCTGCAGATACGATAGTCACCTAAAACCGCCTTTGCGGCGATCTCCAACCATTCAAACAATCATCGGAGTCTCCTCCAAGCGGATCACACCACAACTTAAGGGCCTAATTGAAAGACTACGTTATGAAAATGATTGGTTTCAATAAAAAAAAATGATTATGAACTAGGGTACAGAATCGTATTTATTCATAAATAGTAAACATTCGAATGTAATGTCACCGTTAATAGAAATAATTTAATATTCAGGACAATAAAAGATAGGTACAGCAATAGCTTATTTACCACAACATTCAAATATCTTTCTTGACAATAATTGTAGCATTATTTTAGTTTTGATCGATGGCACAAAAAACAAAAAACTTCTGATCTCTTCTGATTTTAAACAAACCTCCAATTTTTAGACAAATATCCATACATTTTTATACGTGTAATAGCTATATAATTTATTGCACTATATGCTATTTTGTATACAGCGTGTCGTTACCATCGCGACAATAAATGAACACACGTCTAACGCTACTTGCCAATAATCATAAAAAAACGTTAAACAAAATCCATAATTAAAAAAAAATATTTTTCAAACAAACTAATTAAGTAAAAAAGAAACAAAATTTGTAACATCCTATACAACTCGCGCCACAGCGTCGCATTACAAACCTCTCCTTCTAACAGTATGTTTTGTCTCTTTTAAATTCATTCAACCCATTCATATGCATTGTGACCTTTACAAATGAACTTTACGTTACGCTTTTATAGTAAGGTGTTCTAAAATTCTTTGTTTTGGAAAATTTTATAACTCAGTAAATATTGATGTTTAAAGAATTTAAATGTTTAATACAACTTTAAAAAGTTATCCCCTATATGTCAGTTCATTTATTGTCGCGATGGTAACGACACGCTGTATGTTAGCAAAAGGATAATAAAAAAACTGTTAGGTACTGTGAACCTTCAAAGTTACAAGTGTACTTATAGATGGCATGGTACATATAGTTGGCGGTACTAGTTTTTTTTAGTTTCTAGACCATTTTATATGACGTTGACTTTTCTTTTCTTAAAACCATTAACAATTAAGATATCTTCACATTGCTTTTGACAACGGCACTTAATATTTATTTCTTTTCAAAAGAGCAGAATTGAATTTTAGTTGGGAGTTTCTTTCGAAATTGAAATGCATGCGATTATGATTAAAAAAACTGCAAAATACACTACAGAGAGCACTATTTGATTTTTAACTATAAATGGTGCCCTTCTTTTGACGAGAGAGGGCGTTGCTAATATTTGATATGTAAAATTTCAATGGTTACTTTCTACTGAAATATGTAATATTAGGATGCTACAATTACATTATAAGGATAGATATTTTCTTGTATGACACGATTCATAACTTTTGCTGTCAATTTCAACATTCAACAAACATCACTTCCAATCAAGATGTTTTTTATTTTACACAATACCTATCTTCTAGTTTATTCTACGAAATATTTTCGAACGTTACACAGATGATAGTTATCGACATAATCTTTAAAGTAATTCCTAAAAGTAAATAATTAATAAAAAGTTGAATGAATGTAACTCAAATGGAATGTTCATATATTTCTATTAGCAGTGTTTTTAAAAGGTGTACATCGTTGTGTAGATGCCTTAGAACCTCGTCGTAAAGGTTCAGCCCTGAAACCTTGTTTGTTCAAAAATTTTATTGTTTTTCAACAACTTTTAGCGCAACATTATTTTGATGACTACGTGGCGCAGTCGCTTCGGCGTAGAGGATCGTGAGTTCGACTCCCACACGAGACTACTATTTGTGTGATGGTCGTTCCGCATCTGGGTGTTTGTCCATGTGAAATTTATGTTTGTAAAAACGTCCTTACAACACAGGATAATGTTATCCCATAATGTTATCCCTTTTAAAAAAAAAGAAGAAAAGGAAATGTTATTTAGCACTTCATTTTCCGTAGCACTCATAGAAAAATTAGTACCTATTATAGTGGTAATAAATCATTCGCATTGCAGTCAATGAAAATAAAATAAAAATAGTGATGAATGTATAGGGAAAGTTTATTTCTTTAAACTTTCTTTGTAAACAAAAAAAAAGCTACATAGAAAATTATCACTTTGGGCTTATTCTACCAGTTCTGGGTTTTTTTTTTAGACTTGCAAGTATACCGTATCTAAAAGGATAAAAAATGTTAACTAATACAATTTAAATACAAAAAAGTAAACCAATCTTAAGTCGTACAATAAAATATTTAAATGACAAAAATCATGCATAATTAGCAATGATAATTGACTTATGCCTCCCACTTAATTTTTTTCATCTTCCTAAGTATTACTTAAATAATTTCTGGATTTGAGAATCTTATAATAGGACTTGTGAGCAGAAATCATATGGTATAATGAAACCAAAGACTACCACAATCAATAAACATTACAACTTTTAGTGCCTCATTAAACATTACAAATGCTTTCTGACCAAAAACAAAAAAAAAATGAAACTTATTCAGATAAATTTTAAAGAAATTTCTTCATAATCACAGATTAAGCGTAGAAAAATAATCATAGTACTTTATCGGAAATCACCATTAAATCTATGTAAACGAAAACACGATCACTTATTAATTTCTTTTACAACTACTTTTGGACTGATTTTGATGACTTCACTCAGTTGTTTAAATGTGAACGAAACGTCCGTATTGCAGAAAGTCATGCTCGTTCTGACATTCTCCAAGTCGTCGACACAGGGTTTCACACCGTAATAGGAGTACTCCTGCAGACTCGAGCCCGGCTCAACATTGAGTGGCAGCTTCGTTGTGGACTTCTTGGCCACCGCCTGCATCGGTAGCTTTGTGGTGGATTTCCTCGCGCACTTCCTCGACGGCCGACCCTCGCACAGAGCATCGCTCTTCCTCTTCAACGCGACCTCTTCGTCGTCCAGGTTGACGATCACGTCCGACTTGGCGGAGAACTGCCGCCTCCGGAACTGCAGCGGCAGCGTGCTGTGCACCGCACTCCAGTGCACCTTCATGTCCTTCCAGAATCTGAACTGATGGTCGCAGTACACGCAGAAGAAAACGGTCCTCCTCTTGCCCAGCAGCTTGTAATACGAGTAGTTCAGGCTCTCGCCAGGGTGGCTCAGCTGGTGGTGGGCGGTGGCCTCGTCGATGTTTTGGAGTAGGAGCAGGCAAATGCAACACTTTACCACCACCTGCCCCTTTTTCGCGAAGCTCGGCTTTACATTGTCATGCATGTGTTCCTTGGCATCGATATCCGTGAACGGCGTCTCGCATTGCAAGCAGATCAACTTCGATACTTCCTCTTCCACCGTTGACGCCACAGTTGCCACGGGATTGGTGTTTAAAGGGGGACCCATACTTCTCTGGCTCCTGGTGACAAGCAACAGCGGCCGGCCCTTGTGTTTGTCGGTCAAGTGCTTCAGTACAGTTCTCCTGTAACCGTTAAAATCACAATAAGAACAGAAGTATGGCTTTATGTTAGAGTGCTGTGTAATGTGCTCCTTAAAGTCCCTCATGTCATTGCACTTGAAATTGCAGAATGGACATTGTCTGCCTTCCAAAGTCTGAGACGGTTCATCGATGACTAGTTTCTCATCATCCTCGTCACTGTCCAAAGCCACTCCTTTTAAGTTGGCCATTTCCACCTCCGGGGTCGTAACTCGTTCTTCGTATCGAACTACCAGTAAGGAGTTATCAGTTGCAATGCTCTCAGTCGATTCAAGGCTGGCGGTTTTATTCGTTAGCATTGGTGATTGAGTCATACTGCACTTTTGCTTTTGCAGAACTGCGGAGATCCAAGCATCGCGTTTTCCTACATCACGCACCGCCTCGACGGCCCTAGCCGCGAGTCCAGTATGGACACTCTTGCAGTGGAACTGAGCTTCATGATAGTTCTGGAATTTGTCCGAACAACTGCTGCAACACCACCTGCAACAAAATATGGAAACAGTTATTAAGCGACCACTTGAGTTAAGTGAGAAATATCAAGCAACAAGTAAAAATAAATACTCTTCACGTGTATTGTGTGTGTGAATACTTGCCTTATTTTGTTTAATTCAATCTCCAAATGATTCCGCATTTCAATTTCTTCTCTAACTTTGTAATTACACTTGGGACACCTAAAAAGCAAACCTTCAGGATCACCGAACCTGCCGAAAAAGCTTTCGAGGTCCTCAGTATTGAAATTGTCACCGCTTTCAAGCGTCAACGGGAGATTTACTCGCTTCGACGTAGAAGGAAAGGGATTAGATTTGTGAGTGAGCAACTCACTATCAGGTCTGGTCCCGAGTGGCGAATTGAGCTTATTTTTCTCTATTAGGAGGAATTGATGATCCAAAGCTTTGGCGATCCATGTCTCAATATGGGAGTCCATGGGTAGCTCGATAGGCTCCCGGAATCGCCGGTGCTCAATGCGCATATGCTCGAATAGACCATTCTTATGGAAAGCTTTGTAGGAGCAAAGTCCGCATCCCCATCTGTAAAATATACAAGGACAAAGTCAATTACAGAAACAGAGTTATAAATGAACGTTTGAATGCAGCAACGACGCGTTACATACTTCCTATACTGCAACTCTTCATACAGGTGGGACTGCATAGCTTCCTTTGTTTCTTCGGAGACAGTCTCGCATAGGGGGCATTTGTATTTCAAACCATTTGGTTCACAAAATTGACCGAAGTTCAGAGAAGCGCAGAGGTCTTGCGTCGGCTGTTCTGGAGCTACAGAGTCTGGGTCCCTCTTCACGATATTAAGGTCAACCACGGGAATGGCGATTGGCGTCGGTTCAACTTCGGTGGCGTTTTCAGATTCCGACGACCTACTTTCAACTGCCTCAGTCTTCACAAGAGTCTCCGCTACTGAGCTTTTCTGACGTTGCTTCTGCCATCGTGGGGTACCATCAGGCTCGTCGGGAATAGATCCCTCACGATAATAAAAGTAAAATGTTTCTGGAGCCTTATCGGCGTGCGATTTGCCCTGGTGTTTCTTAATATTATCCAAGGTAGATGTTCTAAAAGCGCAGTAAGTGCACTTGTACTGCATCTTAGACTGGTGAATTTTGGCACAGTGATCCACCACCTCTGGGCGCAGCATGCTCTTGAATTTGCACAAACCACATTGCCACGGCTTCAGGTCCATGGTCGGCGCGGCGGTTGACGGCTGGCTCGAGCTCGGGGCCGTGGGCGTCTGTTCGCTCTCCTCCCGAACCACCACCACGCGCGCACTGCTATGGAACTCGGCCACATGTTTCTCGACCACCTGACGTCGATTGTGATAGTAGTGACAAACGGAACAGGCGTACAATCTCATATCGTGCATTTTGAGATGGGCAATGATTCGCGATGCAGTAAGAGGCTTAGAGTTGTCCAGGTGCTGATGCGGTGGGCAGTGCATGCAGCGGTAGTCCTTCGATTCGGAGTGCAATGTCTCCCAATGGTACTTGAACATGTGTTCGTCCAAGGAGATGTAGCAACATTCCTTGGCGCCGCACGTGTACCGCTGACGATCCGGCACATACTTCGGATAGCGGGACACCGTTTCGGGCGGAATGAGCGGATTCTGCACGGGCTGCTGTTCGGCTTTATTGGTTTTGTCCATACGCGACGCAATTGAGCTCGAAGCGAGGTTGACCATTTTGTCGAAGTGCTTCTCGTTCGTCTCCAAATGGGGCACAGGATTGACTGGGGCGGTTTGCGGCACCGGCTGCTGTTCGGCGTGAAGCTGGAGGTGCCTCACCATGTTTAATCGGACCTTTGTACTAAACTCACACAAAGCGCAGTAAACCAATTCGTCTAGAATGGGGTTAATCGGAAGGTTGACGACGTCGCTGGGGCCGAATTTCTTCATCTTCACGGGGGGCTCTGCACTTTTAAGTTTGTATTGCTTGGGTAATTTCCGTTTTGTGGCCAGTTTATTCGTTCCGGCGTCATCAACCACAAAATAATATTCTCCGTCCTTTGAATGTAGAGATTTCGATGTGAGTTTTTCCATACGGTGATCATCTTTAAGGTGTTTCTTCACAAATCCAAAAGTGACATACCTATTATCGCAGACGCCACATACATAACGCGTAATCGTCTCTTGCGACAAACTATGATCGCTCAAGTAATGGTTGGCCACAACGTCTCTCGGCCCAATAAAAGGACAATGGGCACATGCGATCTCATTTATTTTCTGTTGATGCACAGCCGTTACGTGCCTCTTAAATCCCACGATATTTTTTAATACAGTATTGTAACATAAGCCACATTTGAACAAACATTCTAGTCGTAACCGTTTAGGTGTGTCAGACTGGTCGCTTTTATCTGCGGCTGATGCAGTTTCTTCAGCGGTGAGATCGACCATCTTTTTATTCGGAGCCTCTTCATCGCTGTCCAAGCAGTAAACGACGTCCGACATTGAACTTTTGGAAGTGGTCGGTTCATTTTTAACGATAACTGGCGATTGTTGTTTATGATCGTCGCCTTTCACTGATTGGTTCCTCAATTTTGGAGTCGCTGGGCACTGAGAAGTAAGCGGAATTGATGCTCGAGAATCTTCGGGTTTTAACTGTTCTGCTGTTTGATTCAGCAACGGAGACTTTAAATCCGTTACTAATGGCTCTTGGCTTTGATTAATTGATTCGGAATCAAAGTATGGCACACTACCGTCATCTTTTTCTGCGTCGTTACTATCCATATTGGTTTGGGTAGATGACATCATCGATTCAATCATTTGATTTGTCTCGCCGATGAGCTTTTCTAAATCTATTGATCTTTCTGCTTCCCTTTCAGGGTTACCTTTAGCACAATTTGGTGTCACGTCGATAGTAGGAATTTTTGAATTATTCAATTGCGCCAATGGCAGTACTCTAAAACCCGCTGTTCCCTCCTATAAAAATATTTTTAAAAAGTTATTTTGATATATTGCGAATACAAAAATAAAATTGATTAACATGCGTCTTATTATTCTTACCTTGTTGGTTATTATTCTTAAATAAGCTTGGGGTTGCTTATTGGGGTGTTTTTCAGAGGCGTGAGCCAAAAATTCTGTTTCACTATCAGCTCCATGGACACACCACGTGCATTGATATACTTTAAAACCATGGCCTTTAACATGTAGTAGTAGATCCGAAATGTTTGTAACTTGGACCGAACAGATCTACAAACATAACTTCCATTTAATTCACCAAACCTTACAAACATTACATCATGCAGATAAAACTGATAATATTACAAATAGGTTACGAACATGTAACATATATCTTTTTATATTAAATATGCAAAACTTAATAAAGTAAAAGAGCATTATAAAAGCAATTAGAAAATTTGGTTTAAATATTGATGAATGAAACAAGAGAAATACGTACGAAACACGAGAAAACAGTATCAGTCGAATGTCTCGTTTCTAAGTGTTCGCTAAATTTACCAGACGTGTAAGTTTTAAACTGGCAAATTCCGTTACTCGAATCTGCTGATGCTGAAATATAAAACACAATTAAAATAGGCGTGGCCTTTTGATGTACCGGAAAATAACAAAAATCTAAATATCAAATTACCCTGATTGCAAACATAATAGGGCACTGCTACGTCACGTGGCAAAATGTCCTCTGCAGTATTGGATCGAGCTGTTACCGTACTGCGGTATATGAGGCTCTGTTCTTTGCAATGCAGCCTCATCTCGTGTGCACGCACTAGTTGACTGGCAGCTCCGCGATAGAAACAGCGGCCGCACACAAACGGGCAGTTTCCGTGAGCTTTGAAAACATGCGTCACCAAATCAACTGCATTCTTAGACGAGTCAAAGTCGCAATAGGGGCAATCCAACGAGCTTTCTCCACCGACACGTTCGTGGGCAACGGCATGGCGCAGCGCATCTTCGGCGTTATCGGTCGAGTAGCTACAGAAACGACCGGCGCACTTGAATATGTGAACAATTTTCTCACGGTTCATCATAATCGCTAGGACAACGTTATTTTTTCCAGCCATTGCCTTAGCTTGAGCTTCTTCATATTTATACTCTTCTTCTTTGCGTTTTTCCTCCTTGAAATCGACAACACTGGCCATCTGAGATGGCTCATGGGTCGAAGCTCCCAGACTAACAACGCTTTGTATGATGGGTAACGTTGGCTGAACAAATTGGGTGTCCGGTTGAGAAACCAGCTCTGAAAACGGTCTAACGTTTAAATAACACTTACTCTGATCAACATTGTCCTTTTGTTGGTTAGATTTTTCCATTATGGGGAAATTGTCAATGTGCTTATCGAGAAAATGTTGTAGGCAGTCTTTAAACAAATGATTTCCTTGTGTTGTTACAATTAGCTTACATATGAAACAGAAACCGTCCCACTTTTCTTGGTGTTTTAGCTGAACGTGTTTCTTAAACGATATTAACAATGCTGTTCGATAGTGGTTTTCTGATCCATTTATGCAACATACATATTCCTTAGTGCCGCTGTCTGTAACATTAACTCTAAAATGTGGATAGTCAAAAATGTCGTCCGATGTAGATTTGCGATCCAATACAGCATTTTCAAAGTTTTCTGCACTATTGCTTGATATGTTTCGCACGATGTCAAGGGAAACAGTCTTGACATCGTGCTCACTATGTTCTTGCTCTTGCTCAATTTTTACATTTGCCGAATCTTCTGGATTAGACATCTCTTTTGCGGCGTCATCATTTTCAAAAGTTATTTGAATTTTGCTTGGCTTAGGTTTGTGTTCTTCATTGACATTGGAGTCTAGTTGAAAGTCAGATTTAAGTTTATTGGTGTCATTGTCATTTTTTTCATCTGAATAACTTTTATCGTCACTGCTTTCAACAGTATTTTGATTCAAACGCCTGCTTCTTAGTATTCGAGGCTCTGTTTCCACCGCTGACTTTGTGTATTCTTCTCCTGATTTATTCATCTTTCCAGACAAATTTATTGCATACACTTCAGTCTCTTCATCGTTATGCCGATTTATAACATGAGATTTTATATTTTCAAGCGACACTTGTGTAAAATTACATTTTCCACAAATATAACCGATAATACCTTTTGGTCCTTTCGGAGGAGGCGGAATATCCAAGTTAAATGGACATTGTGTCTCATTCACGCATTCCGAACAGAGTTGCTTATATTCACCAGTATGGACACTGACCACATGCCAAAAGAAGGTCTCCAATGCTGTTTTCTTTTTGCCGAATTCTTTAAAACAGAATCGGCAGATATATTTACCTGGCTGTATTTTAATTGCCTTTCCTAATTTTTCCTCTTGACATTGTTCAATAGCTTCCTTTGCGACTTCGGGGCTCAAACGGGACAGAGGAATCTCAGAGTGTGGATGCCGCTTCTTGTAGTGGTGAACAATGCTAGGGCCATTGTAAGTGCAAAACCGACACGAATAGGCCGCAACATTTTTCTCGAAACAGTAACTTATATCAGTGTAACATTTTTCGTCAGAAATATGATCAGACGACAGCGATAAATTATCTTCAGGTGATACTAGTTCAGAACTTTTCACATCACTTTTCTTTTTCTTATGTTTGGGCTTTATAACCCCAGCTTGCCAACCCCGTCGCTTACGTTTTGACTTTTTCTTCAACTCTAAAAGGTCATTGCTGCCAAAGCTATTTGATGATGCAAAAGATTCACATTCTGATTCAGAACTGCTTTGAACTTTACTCTCGCCAACGTTTGTGTTATTCGACTCACTGAAAGAATCTGACTCAAACATATAAGGGTCAGCATCAGCTTCCTTTGCGGGCACTTTGGTTTTGGATTTAGGTCCAGGTCTTAACTTCATCGCAGTTTTCGGTTCAATTAAATTATTATCAAGATATTTATCTGTAGTTACTAATGTTTCTTTTTGCGTCACTTTCGATTTTGAAGGCTGTTTTTTCTTTATTAACTTAGATGTTGCCTCGGCAAAAGACTGTTTAACTTTTTCAAGTATTACTACTGGGCTGTTTTCAGAATTACTTTTCTCATGCTTTTCAATAGTATTATTTTCCTCTACCAATTTAGCCAAACGACACATTCTTATACCAGTGGAGTTGAACACATCATCGTGCATAAACATTTCTTTAATATCATCCTGAAGTCGTTTCAATTCTCTAGAAGGCTTTTTTACAGGCGATTTCCCTATGTTAGCAGAATCGGATCGTGTAAAGCGTTTGTTTTCATCAAGGGAGTTCTTAAAAACTTTGCCTTTTTTAGTTGGTTTTATATTCTTTTCAGATTTTTTATTTACCTGTAATTGCTCCGTATCAATGGTATCATTAGAAGAACAAAAAGTACCATCTTGATTTTCTGTATCTCTGTTAGTATTTTCTATACTTTTTTCAATTTCATTTAATTGTTCTTTATCTTTACTTTTTTCAATCTCTCTGAAATTTCGGTCTTGCTCCGCGCTCGGAACATCTGGGACACATTCTTCGTCTTTGTTTTCTTCAATTTGTTCTGTAGTGTTATTTTCATGGTTATTTTCTTGACATAAGTTATAATCCTCTATTGCGGGCTGTTCAATTACTTGTTTAGTTTCTTTTAAGTCGTCGATCTTACTTTTATATAATGTTTTGGTACTACTATTTGAAAAATTGGATTCACTGGGTGGCAAATCTTCATCATCTGAGACAATTTCACTCAACTTTTCTAACTTCTTTTTTAATTTGTCATTTTCACTAGACTGATCATTTAACATTATAAGTAGTTCTTTTATTTTAGATTTATCTTTTAATATGGAAAGCAAATTACTCACAGAATCATTTAGATGAGGTAATTCAGCACGAGACAAATTAGTTTGTACGTTATCTTTTGATTCATAAGAAGAATGTGTTGAAGTAATATCGGAATTCATCTCGCAATTTAAATCATTAGTACTATCTGGTAACCCTTGTTGAGTTGTCTTACTTAGATTATTTTCATTTACATCTATGGTACTATCAGGAGTTAAACACGATTCCATAAGATCTTGCATTTGCTGAGATTCAGCATTTTCCATCAAAATTGAAGATTTTTCTCCTTGTGTGGTAGAGACTTCATTATTATGACTATTTACATAATTAGGGTCATTTTCAGTTTTATGTTTAATTTCTGAAACGACATTTTCAACGAAAACATGCTTACCCTCTTCTAAACTTATACTTTTATTAACGGAAATCACATCATGTGATTTATCAGAATCTACGCTGGATTTATTGGTATCAATTAAATCTGTATTATGAACTTCGTTTGCTTGACTGGCAATGTTTGATGATGTTTTTTCAATACAGGTTATATTATCAAGCATATTTTCAAGAGTAATCTCCTTGGTAAACTGACTTTTTGAGCCATCATCCTTAGAAGTATCTAAGTCATCATCTAGGTCTGCAATTAAAGCATTTATGTTCTCAATAACCGGATCTGTTGCCACATTATCAGAAAACATTTCAAGTTCTACGCCAAAAGAATTATTATGGTCTGAAGCGGAAGGTGACTCAGAAGGTGGATCGACATTAACGGAATTCGAATTATCATCGGATTTAAAGATTTCAGTCCCCGTGGATGCATAATCCCGAGAATCATTTTGGTCAACTTGTTCTTTCTCACCAAAATCCATGTGTTCTAAATATAAATCTTCCGGTGATTTATTCTCATTTCCATTACTCGAAGGTCCTTCCATAATTTCATTATCGTTTTTCTTTAAATCTGAACAATTCTTATTCACAAAAATAGCGTTACTAACCTCAATACTTTCTGTATCAGAGTCATGCAAAACTATTTTCTTCATTTTATTAACCTTTCTCTTTGGACTATCGGCCGAAACTTCGATTGTTTCGTTTAAATAATTTTTTCGTGATGATCTCGTTATTCGCTTTTCTACATTATTAGAAATAATTGGCGACATATTTTGCTCTTCATTTTCTAATTCGTTTACTTTAATATCTTCGGATTTTTTACTTTGTTCCTCAGCTTTTTGTACAGTTTTTTCACTCTTGTTCCATCTTGTTGGACGCCTTTCAGTATCTCTCTTATCCTGTTTCTGTTTTGAATTAAACGTTTTCTCATTTTTCTCTTCATTTTTTTTACCGCAGCTATCATCAATTACTGTATCGTTAAACTTTTTATCATTATCATTTGTTACTTTGTTGCCAGTTTCTTCGGAAACTTTTTTTATTTTAGGTATTTTATAGTTTTTCACACCGTATCCAGAACCTAAAATTGTTCCCTTAGCAATATTATCAGATGAGTAAACTATACCATGTTTGTTATATTCACGGGAACTACTCCGTGTAACATCATGACATTTATGAAATTCCCGACGCATTCTGGGGTCCCGATTATATCCTCTTTGTGAGTATGTTTGTTCTGTTCGACTTTCGTTTCTGTTACGTTGAAAATCATGTTCGTCTCGTCTTGATAATCGGGGATCACGTTCGTTTATTTTTTTTCTAGCATCTGGCATGCGACTATTGTCAGACGAAATATTTATGCTTTTGTGTAACTTTTCATCGTGCTTGTGTTTATACGACTGTAATTCCTCTTTGATGTCTTTAAAGTTCTTCTTTAAATCATTTTCTGCTATTTCCCTTCCTACACTAGATGCTCGTCTGAAGTTAACATTTTTCTTTAAGACTAAAGATTGCGTATTACATTTTGTATTCCTAAAATCACTGCAAGAACTTTTTTCGCCAATTAAGGTTCTACCAACACTAGATGCACGTCTTCTCCTTGCATCGAAACTAGGTACATTAAGATTTTCAATCTTTTCTTGGAAACTTCTGTTCACGCTTGTATCAATAATAAATGGACGACCTGCATGTGAATCAATAGACAAAATATTATCGCATGTAGGGTTTATTTCATTTCCTTCCACTGTTTTTTCATCTTGTGTGTTACGACCAATGTTGTGATCTCGTTTTATATTGCTTCGTGAACAGTTACCATCATTAAAGTTTTTAACATGGTCTTTTTCGTAGCGGTAATCCCTAACCCTGTATCCTTTGCGGTCGTTAGAATAATGTCTAGCATTTTTGAAATTTTTAGTCATGGAACGACCAGTGCTAGATTCGCGACGGGACATTTCACTGTAGTGTGAATCATGTTGCTCATATGTGTTTTTATTAACGCGAACATTATTTTGTTGTCGGCCATAGTGTCTATAATTATCAGAGAAGTTTCTTTGCACTTGATCATATTTATAATGGCGGGAATTAAAACTCGAGGCATGCTCTGTGAAGTCATTACAATCCTTTTCATCGTTATGTTTTGAATAATTATTATAATCGGAACTTCTATTGATTCTGTGATCTTGAAAAGAGGTGTATCTTAGTGGTGGTATCTGCGATGTTACTTGGTTTTGAGGGAAGTCAGTCCTTCCGAATGGATGATTTGGTGTCATGGGAATTTCCGTTCTTCCACCAAATGGATGATTAGGTGTGGACGGACAATCCATTGCCCGACCGAAAGGATGAACTGGCGTCATAGGTGGATCACATCTTCCAAATGTTGGCATCGGAGTCATTGGCGTTTCTAAAAGTCCAAAAGTATGGGTCGGAGTAGGTGGACAATCAGACATTCCAAAAGGATGAACAGGTGTTTGAGGGCAATCCGATCTGTTAAAGACAGGGGGATAGTTATCATTAAACAAAGTATTTTGAAAATCGTTATTACTAACAATTAAATCGTTTCCTTGATCCGAAACTGGAAATGTCGGAGCGTACACGTTTCGTTTAATGTAGTCTTCATTTTCATAGGTTTGGTGGGATGGAGCCATTTCATAAACTCCGTTATTTGAGGTTGGATTTACTATCATATTAGGAATGGCGTTCGAATTTTGGGTAACGTTAGACATTCTATTCGGAGCAACGTTCGATATAATATTTGGCATCATAATGGGAGTTATGTTAGAGGAAAAATTGATAAGTGGTCTCGGAGTACGTTCCACCGGTACTAGAATTGAACTGTCTACATTCGGAGAAATAAAGTCCCTTCTTACACGCGGATCTGCTAAAGGTATTTGTTTATCATTTTGATTTGATTCAATTTCATTTTTAAAAATATCAATTGTTTTATCTAAAGTTATGGATGCTGGCCAATGTTTACTTCCTGATTTGACTTCGTGCACATGTGATGACAATACAGATGGCAATCTCATGTCGACATCAGTTTTAGAACAAACTACAGTAGTTTTAATCGGATCCGCTGGAATTATTACTGGCGGCTTGATTCCTGTATCTGCAAAGTCTTCATGGTCCGGGGACTTTGGAACCAAGTCCCCATATACATCATCGATAGTTGGGCTTCTTTTTTCTATTACCTCATCTTCAGAACTTTCATCAAAAGATAATTTGTTTGATAATTTAAATCGCTCATATTCTTTTTCAGTTAGTTTTATACTTTGTTTCCTCAAAAGGTCATCTTTTAATGAGTTGTCCTTAATTTCATTTGTAAACAGCGAAGGTTTCGAAGAAGCAGTTGTTTTTTCTTTATACTTTTCGATAGAAATTCTTTTCTTCGATATCATTCCATGCATATTAGCCACTTTAGTAACTTTTGGTTGATGCAATGGAGGTGTCACAGTTCCAGGGTCAGCTACAGATATTTGTTCACTCAAAATTTCGTTTTTCAATGCTTGTAATATATCAATTTCGTGAACTACTTCTTGTTTTGCAGAAGCTTCCAAATCCAGTAACGGTATTTCAACTTGCTGGTGTTTGGCCGAATCGTCTTTATCTTTACCCTTATTTTGTTCAATGTCTATATTTAATTCTTCCGTTGATGTCTTTTTTGAGTTTTCTACATTTAAAACGGGTTTGTAGAAGTTTGGTGTGAATGATTCAGAAGATTCCAATTCATTATTTTTCGATTTTTCAGATTCCTCACATTTTGTACTCAATTTAGAAACAGAGTTAACAACAGAGACAGCCATTTGCAATTTGCTTTCTACTTCCTTCGAGACACCTTGTTGGTTTTCTTTATCGGGCACACTATCATCTTTATTATCGCAGTTTTGTTTAGCCACCTCAGAGCTCTTTGTAAATGATTCAAATTCTGATTCGTCAATAATAGGATTTTGAACATTTATGTCTTTGGCTCTATCAGTTTGGTTTCGCCCTTCCTTTTCTGAATTAATCACTAAACAGATTTGAATTTTTCTAGAGTCTTGATCTTTATAATCCGATTTTTTTGTAATACTTGTATTATTTTGATCTTTATCCACTACTACTAAGCTACCGTAAACGCTTTCTATAATTTCACTTTCGCTATCTGACAATTCCCCTTCTTCAACCTCCTCCTTCTTCTTCTTTCTGAATTCTTTTTTGTTATTGTAAGACTTTAGTATTAAATCAGATATGTCATCTTTGTTTGCTTTAATTTGTTTTAATTCGGACAGAATCTGTGTTCTTAATCCACGTAATGTATCAATATCGACATCATTATCACTACATTTCATAATTCTGGGAAGAATATCTTTCGTATTTAGGGAATTTAAACTTTCTTCCGGGACCTTAAGAGTTATATTTAAATCTTTAAGTTCGTTTGTTATCTGTGGTTGATTGGTGGACGTATTTCTTTCTTTTCTATGATGTGGTGACAAGCGCCTTCGTGGCGACTTTCGGGGAGTCCTTCGGGGTGATCTTCTACTATATAACGGTTTGCCCGATTCTATATCTTCTTGCCAGTTTGTGTCATGGTCAGGAGACATAAGAACACGAGTGTAATTTCGGTTCCCTAATGTTGGCGAACTTTTACTATTGTTAAAAGAAGACGGAGGGGGAGTTACGGAGGTCTTGTTAGGTCGTCTTTGAAATAGAGCTGGTTCTTTGCTACCAGCTGTGCAGGCTTCTTCTATCTTGCTTGCCCTTGCAATTTCTGGTAATGTTTCTTGGTCTTTTAAATGTGATGCAACATTTTTAAGCTTATTACGCACCAAACTCAATTCTGGATTTTCTGTGCCAAGGGCGGTATCTATGTCATTCTTCATATTGGATAAGCAGTCCCTCTAAAACGATAAAATAAATTAATATAACTGAAATGTTAAACACATAAAAAGCAATAAAATTACAGTTTACCTGTTCAACTTTCGCATACAAATTAACCAGAACTTGTTCACATTTCAGCAAATTCTCCATTTTCATTCTGAAAGAATGAAAATGGATGTTAAACCCATACAAAATAAATTACGATAAATTTTACAGTCTGCCACAAGTTATATGTGCACTAAGTGCTACTTAATCATAGGCAAGTAAAGTAAACATAAATACAAATACAAGCGTATGAACAAACATGTCCACCTTTTCTTCTTATCCAATAGAAGATCTCTCAGAGATCGGATTTTAGCCAGCTGCGCCTCTCTAGGATTTCCTGACGCGGAGCTGTTGCTCTCCAATCTTTTGATCATGCTCTCTAAAAACGGAATGTATTTCTTCATCTCCTCGAACTTGCGATCGTAATCGTGCTCCATATTGAGTGCTGAAATTATAGATTGTATTCATCAATACAAATGATGTAGAATATTTAATAATTGCATGTATTAACGCGACACAAAAAATTACTAAATGAAACTATGCATACGGACTTATATAATATTAGCGAGGCCGCTGTCAAATACAAAATAAAAATATACAAATCGTACAGAAAAAATAATGAAAATATAATATAAACAAAACAGGAATATGCCCTTAATACTAACTTAAATTAAACACATTAACGTTTTAAGCATAATGTCCACGTGAGTTATATTTTATAGAAGATAAAAAAAATATAGCATAGCAACTATATAAATGCACACCATAATTTTTACACCATATTTTTCACATTAAACTTGAATAAAAACCATGGCCACACCCAATTAATTTTTATCTTAATTGGAACAAAATTTTTCATGGAAATAAATTCTCCTTTTTCATCATTCTTCAACATACCAACAAATGTTCGAGAAGACCAGTTTGTAAGCGGACAGACCGAAACCTCTTAATTTAACTTCTGGTGCACTTTCAATACTGCAACACTATTTGCGTTTTAAGCGGGGCTGAATTTCACAAAATGTCTTAATCATGATAAGGGAAAACGACATAACTATGAACGGCACAGTCATGTCACAAAAACAAAACGGGCAGACAAATCAGCTAAATGCCGCCGATAATGACGTATTGGAATACTGTACAAAAGCTGTTTATTTACTTCGCCACTCTGAATACACTAGCATTCAGTTCGCTTCACATCTTTATATTTTTATAAACTTAATAGCTGACCCAGCAAACGTTATTTTGCCCTATAAATTATTTGTAGGGTAGAAAAAAAAATTAAATAAAATTGTTATAAACCTATTCTTATACCTACGGAATATACATTTTATACATATAAATGTAACATACATATATTATACATAAAATGTATATTCAGTAGATATGAGAGGTTTCATCAAAATCGGTCAAGCCGTTTCGGAGGAGTATAAACACAAACTGTGTCAAGAATTTTATACAATGTATATCTAATACATTAAACTATGAAGATATTTCGTGGTAAAATATTTTCTATCAATTTCATTTTAATAAAAGTTGGTTCTAAAGTATCAAGGTTAGGTAAAACTATTTCTAAGTTTATAAGCAGTTGCGAATGTAATGAAGATGTTTTCATCATTTTTAACAACGCACGATTTGGTTCCGGATTTTATAATATAAATGTGGAATAAACGAAATAATAAAAGTATTCTAGAAAACGTAGATCTTACTGAGAAACATCATTTAATTCAATTCCTGCCTCGCACGAAAGGCAAGTAATTGATTATGAAAAATGCACGTATTCACAACAAATCTTGAATTTTGCAATCACAAAATATACGCAGTCGCATATAATACACCTTTGAATATAAAACATGATACATTTGAGGAATTTTGAGATGGTTTTATTTTAGCATAAAACTATTGTATTTTTTTACACTGGATTGTTATTGCATTGTAAGCAATTAAGAAAACAAAGAACTAAGCACCTTTAAAAATAATTAGAATTGACATCTGGCCAAATACATGAAAACAAAGATATTTATTCAATACATTTGATATGGGAACGACTACGAAGGACTAATGTGCAAGCGATTAAAATTGATAGGAATTAGCATTATTTATTTCTATAGTGGTGTCCATCAAAAATTCAGATATTAGCGCTTTCTTAGTTTTGCTTCCCGCTTCGCTTTTCATAGCTTTTAAAATATACTTCTGTTTTATATGAAGGGACAATTTAACTTCAAAATAAGGCTTCAAAATAATCTTAAAGAATTTCGAAAAAGAAAATACTCTTAAACGACGGCAAAATGAACATCAATGCAAACGGCAAGCAACTTTAAAATATTTCTTTTACTTTTTGCGACAAAAATATATTTCGGGGCATTATATAACACAACGTTATCTATTTCCAAACTAAGCAAAGCTTGTACTACGGTTACTAGAAAACTGATAAACATGCCTAAACGAACTTTTATTTTGTAAATAAATACATATTATAGATTTATAAACACCCAGACACCAGAAAAACAATATGTTAATCGCAAATAAAATCCAGTAGTGGAGATCCGACACACCCTCTGGCGCAAAAGACACTATCAACTTCGCCAAGTGGCTCGTCAAACTTTTCACTATGCACGACTATTCATCTACATTAGATGTAATTTTTTTAAGTCAAATAATTTAACAAGAAATAAATGTTATATACTTCACATAATAAGCGCTTTTGGATCAAACACAATTATGCAAAAAAGCCGATACATTTCCCCAATCGAAGGAAAACCCTGGTCATTCTTTTTAAAATAAAAAAAATGCTTTAGTTTGGCGATATAAAATATTATACGTATTAATTCAGCATTCCAGCTAACTAAATAATATTTTTGTACCAAACACCTCTGTCGGCGTGAGAAGGGAAGAAACACGTTCCAACTTTGTATGTAAAATGCTCACGGTGGTAGGGCCACGCAGCAGTCTCGGCTGTTGCACGAATGGGCAGGCTCGTCCAGGTAAATACCACGACCTCACTGAAGACCGGCGTAAAGTGGAAGTATATTACTTTCGCCTTTCGTCTGGTGAGTGAGGTGGCCGGAGCCCAATTTTCAAAAGGTTGTCTACGCATCTGGAACCCTCTGGTGTAACAGATGTCCGTGGGCGGCGGTATTCACTTAACATCAGGTGAAACACTTAACGTCTGCTCGTTTGGCAACTTTTCACATAAAAAAAATATTACTAGTATATTAGTACTTAGCAAAAGTTATATTTTTATTTTAGAGACTGTTTTAGAAACTAGTTTTATTATTATATTAGTACAGTTTCTACATTCTTTTAGCTGTAAAATATGCAGGTATCGGTAATAACTCTTGCATGAAAAATGTTTTTATATTTTTAATTATATAAGATGCGTCACAATTAAGGAATAAATTGATTAATTATGCTGTTGTTAGACACCAGACACATTAATATATAAGAATCTAGAATTATTATTATATAAGACCTCCGTACAACCTATATGTCCTACGCATGCATGACCTTCCCACACAAACGCGAACGTCAACAAGCATAGCCCGCGAAACGTCCTCATCGACCCGGTCGAGGAAGGGGACTTAGATGCGCCGGACCCACCGTCGGTAGTCCCGCCGATTAACACTAAACCCACAGCTAGTGTTACACAAACACAATAGTTCGCCCTCGCTTCCGAGCACGGCGAGACTAACACAACGCGTACTCAAGGTACACCCGCGTTCCAGGGCGGTTCTCACCGCCCCCAGCCACCGATTAGCTAAAAACACAGTCGACGGCCATCGGGGTCTCGGTCCGCACCGCAACCTCGATGGCCCTTAGATGACCTGCCGTAGTTAAACGCACGCATGAGCACATGCGGTTCTGGCTAGCCCACCGGTTCAGCGTCAGATGAAGCTTTAATAGTCTCCGGACTGAAAGCAAAAACATCAGTTAAAACAAGATACAAGACAGACACCAGACGTCGACGTAGAAACGCAAAAAAGTATCAACATTGGAGACAGACACGGCAGTATTACATACGAAGAATCATAACAATATAAGAAGTTCATGCAGTATCAAAGAGGCCGTCTCTCGCACCCATGTTTATTATGGCTCAAGTCGAAACATATATTCAGTTACAGGAAGATACGAAGATTATGAAACCGAAACGAGAACCCGTTTAAAACCAAACCTCTTGCGAATTGCCCGATCCAATAATGCACGTAAACCTATCCTAGGCAATATGTATTGAATTTTGAAGAAAATTATTCAAGTATTGCCTATAATCATCGTCATCTATGAAATAAACGCTAATAATCAAGAACCCCTGATAAATTTGCTACAAAAAGTAAAGTAAGAGCATTGGCTCTTACGTATACGGGCAAAAGCCTCGTAAGTTGTCAGATATCAGGGCGTATATATAAATAAATATTTATTCAAGCATTATTAAATATTGCAATATCGGACTTAAAATATGCGCTACCTTTAGTCTACATTAACTTTTAATAAATATTTGATTTCCATAAATAAGTATGTGCTTCCGAGAATTTTTAATTTTCAATGTAAATGGCTGTTGTTATGTTTTGTTGTCATTTTTTTAACATTTTCATGAAACATCGTCACTCATGTTGTTGGCTGTCCGTCCGACTTCTAAACCCTTATTGGAAATAAAGAACCAGGTTCCGAACAATTATACATGGGTCATAAATACTTCTCTCGTGTGGGAATCCAACCCATGAACCCGTCGCCTAAGCCGTGTAAGCTTAGCAATTTGAGATTCATACATAGACATACAAAGTTATAGGTGTGACCTATACCTTCGTATCTCTTCGGACAAGTCTAAATAAATTTAATCCGAGAGTATGTGTCATAAAATACGCACGCATAGAGTTGGACCAGATTATTATTACCAAAGGACTAAGGTTACTAAACCTTTTCCTCTCCATTTGTCTTTCAACCATATAGTAGTAAATTACGTTGTTTCAATTTGTTTACTTGAAACTAAAAATTACAATTGAATCCACCTTACAGATTATGTTTGAGAATTACCATTTAAATAAAAGTACGCATTTCACTAAACGCCTCAACGCTTAAGCGGTCGAATTTGCCAATGCATTAAAAGATCATAAATCACATTTCATAATAACGATTACTTGAACACATATACTAATAAACTCTTTAAAATCGGCAATTTTATACATATTTCCTTCTTTGGGGCTCAGAATTTAGGGGGCTGCCCACCCTCCGCGCCTCCGGGGTCTAAAAACACTCTAGGGGTACGACAGACCAAGACCACGGCATGTTCAAGTTTAATGTAAGGCCATTTATCAAAGAATCATCCACCATATTAAAAAAAGAGTTTAAAAATACTAAAACTACTGTTGTGCACTGACGTTCTGGATGATAATAAAAAAATAACCACGAAGGCTAAGGCGGGAGCTGCGCTTCTAACCTAACTAAT